TCAGGCTTTTTATGAACATTGGGGAGGCCAGTTTCCTTAGTTTCAGAAAATTAGTGGGAAGTTTAAAGCAGTTCCCAGATTTTCAGATAACTTCAGAGACGTTAAAAAGTTAATACGTTCAGAAGCTCACTGAAGCTTAAACATTTTTAGGGCGGTTCAATTAAATTCAGTGCAATACAACAAGATTCATTAGAACTGCTAAAACTTTAGAGAAGTTATGAGAATTTCAGAAAAGAACAAAGAACCTCAGAGCAGTTCCGTTAACATTAGAGAAGTCACATAAATTTTAATGAAGTTTAGAGAACTTAAGCGAATTGTTAAACGTTTAGAGGAGATCCATGATCATTGAAAAAATTTAGGAAACTTTAGGAAGTCCTGAAAAGTTCAGGGAAGTTTAAGAATTTTATGAGAAGTATTGTGAGTCTCAGGCTAGTTTCTCAAATTACAAAAGAACTTCAAGGCAGTTTCATTAACTTCAGGAAAAAATTGGGAACTTTCAAGTAGTTCTGAAATCCTCAGAATAGTCCATTCCATATTCTACGGAGATTTCCATTGAAATATTCCTCAAAATTTTGGTGCTATCCTCCGAATTCAATTTTCTTTTAGTTTTCCTTGGAATTATCCACAATAAGAAACCCTTTCGAAAGATTCTCCGAATATTCATTGAATTCATTTCAGATTTCGTTTTCAATCTCACTCCTTCCCTTGGAATTCTACTCACATTGAAAGTCTCCTAAGAATTCATTGGCATTTCTCCTCACAAATTACTTGGATTTCTTCTCATAATTTGTTTGGCAAACTCTCCCGAATTCCTTTGAAGATGTCCTGGAGTTATTCTGAGATTTAATTGTAATTGTATTTTCAAAAAAAAAATCCAAGGACTTATGCTCTGGAGTCGTTTTCTCCCAAAAACTTTATGAAATTATGCTCAGAATGCCCTTGGAATTTTCCTCTGAAGCTCCTCAGAAATTCCTAAGAGTTTTCATTAAAATTTACTTTTAGGTCACTTTTTAGTCACTATTTTTACAACTATAAGTCACTATTTGCTCACTTATTTCATCAAAATGGTCACTAAATTCACTATTGTTAACAGCAGTGATTGCTACCAGCTCTGACAATCCTTTTGGCGCTTGTCTGCGAGCCAGCCCTCAACGGATGCCACTGTCAATTTTGATTTTGATTTTGACTTAAAGTATTAAAAAAAAACTGTTTTAGGTAGAGTAGTCTGTACCATGTTATCGAAGATGAAACAACAAATATATAAACAGGGGACGACGGGGTAAGACGGCCACCCTTTACATTATTAAAACAATCAACTCTTGAATAACATTAATGATGCTGAGTTCTTTGCTATAGTATAGTTGGTGGTGTAAAACGCATTCTAGCTTGATAACAAGTGAAACGTCAAAATATATATAAAAAACAAACATCGTGTATGACGCCGGCCTGTATTTGTTAATTAGTGTTAACGGCATTTTTTGCTTTAGAGCTTTTATATCATTTATCATGTAAAAGTAACGTTACTATAAGGAAAACTCAAGTCTGTTCGATGTACTTACAGTGAAAAATATACAGTTTTCATTAAATTATGAGGTATTACAGAAGCTTATACAGTTTGGCATGTGTCGGGGTAAGACGGCCACCTTTGGTTGGTTGAAACGGAATGCAGTAAATAGCAATATTTCGTTTCTGAAATATATCAGGCTTTTTTAGAAAACATTTGCAGATCTGTCATAAGTATGGATTTGTGATATGGAGGATCCACCATAAAATCGGGAACATCCGCAATAGTAGTTAATTCACAAAACTAGGTTCGGGATTTCTTCTGCTTAAATAAGATGATCAAAGCATTCCAAATGGTGATAGTGCACAGGCAAATTTGGAATTCCCTCACTACACGACGGTAGTGTACATGTCAACCTCCTGTAAGCTATATCTTGAAATCCTCATGATCTACGTGAAGTCTACACATAGACTAGTATCACGTAGTGAGAAAATTCTGAACTAATCAGCCTACAAATTAGAAGACATTGATCATCGGAACAACTTTCCAGAAGACGGAAACTTTCTAAATAGTAAAGATCTCAAGATATATTTTATACAGGAAATTGAGTTGCACATTAGCGCCGCTTAGTGAGAAAAATTGGTACTACTGCTAACTAACCAATCCGCCTAAACCTTTACCTTTTATTTTTCCCTCTTTATTTTTGGGTTCGTGATAAAACATCATCAAATATAAACGAAATTTTCTCTACTACTCTAAAGATCAATATTGACTAAATTTATCGCAGAAGTTTTATACAGTTTTGGTTAAATTTTACTTCAAACTTAGCGAGGCCATCTTACCCCATCATCCCCTACACATCCAGAAGAATTTATAAACTATCTGTAGCAGTACCATCCTTCGTATTTCGCGAATCGCACCCTGGCACCGGAAATACTCGAAACATAAAAACGTGTGAAAAAGCGTCAGCCCGGCGAAGAGAGATGTCCAGATTTTTACCATTCTTACAGAGAAGGGTATACATATCGCTTGGCAAACCGACTTTCGACTCTGATCGACGAGATAGGAAAATGTCTGTGAGTGTGTGTGTGTGTTTAAAAGTATGCTGAATTTGCAATGTTTCATCGCATGAACAGATTCTGTTATGTGATCTTCGGAAAGTATTTAAAGTAATTTTATAATCTAAACTCAATTTAAAAAAAGTTTGTTTGCCCACATGCACTGGCTGAAAAATCATCTCGTGAAAATGTTGTACGAAAATATTTATCCTAGAAAAACTTGCTTGCACGCTACAGTCCATTGTAAGAAATGCCATTACATTTGTTGTAAGAAATAATGCAGAGAATGTAAGAAATCCACATTTACATTTTATGTTCATGCCATTTGTTTTGCGTGTTTGTGAGTGTGTCCGTATCGAAAAATTTGTAGGTCGTTTTTCTTGGCAACCAGTAAACCGTATTAGATGCATTCTGTAGACCCATAGAACGTTGTTCCGACCCATGTTCCGGTTTGTATGGGCCATGAGACTAAATTCAACCTGAAACAAATACAACCCATCGTTTTTTTTTTCTTCTTCGCATTTCAAGCTTATTGCATATCGCATATTAGCTTATTGCGTGCTCTCAACTTAGTGTTCTAGATGCACTTCCACAGTTATTAATTGAGAGCTTGCGATGTCTGTACCATTTTTGCATTAGTATAATTGTGTGGCAAGCTAGTCCAGTCATAGGTCGAGAAATTTTCCAACCCGAAAAATTCCTAGGCCGGACCGGGAATTGAACCCAGCCACCTCCAGCATGGTCTTGCTTTGTAGCTGCGCCTTTACCGACTGAGCTAAGGGAGGCCCCTTATACAACCCATCGTGTGACACATCAAATGACATGAGAATTCAAAAACCAGGTCAATTGTAGTCATTTGGAGCGCCCAGGACCACACTGGTCACACCCGACCATGTTCCGGGTACCACTAGGGTCAAAATCCATCATGTGATGCCTCAAATCACATGAGAAACCTAAAACCACTTCAATGGTAGTCATTTAGAGTGCTAAGGTCCACCCTGGCCACATCCGGACATGTTCCGGGTGTACCCGGAGAAGTGGCCAGTTTCTGGCTTTCATCATGCGATACCTCAAATTTCTATTACTAAGAAGGGTCAGATGTCACCATAGGTGGATGAATTTAGGTTTTTTTTATTCATTCCATTCCTTAAATCATTAATGTACCCAAGAATATGAAGCACTTCCGCTGTAGACGGTGATGATGGCGTGCGAAATCACCGGTAAATGGGTGGAAGGATCGCTTGGGCTTGCTCTGCTCTGCTCTGCTACTCTTGTATATCTATCTACTGTTTCTTTTTGTTCACTTTTCAGCACGAAGCGATTGTGATGTCATCATCAGCATCACCGTCCACCATTATGCAGCGACAGGCACACAAGCTTTAGAAGAAAGCTCGCTTGTTTTCGTGATGCAGCATGAAGAAAAGGTGTGGTCGCAGTGGTTTACGTAATGATGATGGATTGATCTAGGTACGGCGCGGCGGCAGTTCATTTCAGTTTTATGAACTTTTTTTATGTAGCTGTACCAGGGACAACCATCAATCAATTTAAGCTTGGCCATGGAGACGGAATTGAGCTGAATTCCAAATTTAGCTCTCCTCAAGATTGATACCGGAGAGCTTTCGTAAACATTGAAGATAAAACTTGTTCGCCCACACGACGGCGGCAGAAATAGAAATCTGTATCCGTTAATCCCTGTTCGATGTTAGTCTTTGATGTGTAGATAAATCCTAATTCAATTTCCACATATGAAAGAGGACACATCAAAGGACATAATTTTCAATTGAATCATGTTCTCGTTTTCATAGTTCGCCATTTGTCTCAATCCCTGTGAGATATTTGATCCTGTGTTTATCGATATAGAAAATTGGATTTATTCCGGAAGAAATGATCTTAAAGCCATTAATATCAAATGAATCATTAATTTACGGTTAATTAGTATTATGGAACTGATGTTTATGTAGTAAAAAAGGAAAATCGATGTGTCCAAATTATGACGTAGGCCAAAATTTTCGTGGTAATCATTCTATCCTCGTTTAAGTATCGATCAACACCTACGAGCTGGGATGGAAACACAATAACACAGCTGAACTCTTCGTCACGCTTCCATTCACCATGGGATTGCCTACCGCCATGCGATCCAAACCTTGACACATCGAATTCCACATGTGTGGTTTACTGTGTATTTTTTATCTTTTTTGTTCTTCGTTGAACAGCGCAAATTGATATCGATTTTATCAGTGTCTGGTATGCCCGGAGAATGTCTGTCATTTTGAGCTGATGGAGTTTTCGCTCCAACGGCTTTAGGTTGTTATCCATGTCTACCTACCTGTGCCACAGAGACAAAGAAATTATTTCGTCAAATCGTTTGCAACCTGATCTAAATTTTTGATTACTGATTTGTTTTTTGGTCTTGTTCCATTTTGTTTTCTCCCTTCCAGCGATATCACGGGAAGAGAACGACGACAGCACACAGCAAAACAACCACCATCATCCTCACCACCTGCACCACCACCACGGACATGGTCACAATCGTGGCAGTAAAGTGCCCTTCAATGGTTACACCTCCGAGGAGTATCTGGACCGATTGGAACCAAATGGAAACATTCCGGTCGACAAAACGTACAGCAAACGTAAGTAGACAGAAGTTTATGTTATTTTAAGTTACAAGCATTTTGCCAATGATTTCAGTTCAGCCTTAGTTTGAATAACTGTTGAATTCAAACTTCGTTAACTTATATTCAGCTTTAGAACATATGATTTTTGGTGATTTTACCAGCCCAAAAAGTTTAGCAATAGTTTCAATGTTAAGCTTATTAAGGCATAAAAAATAGGCTATTTCAGCTCTTGTTCAGCCTTCTCATATATTTTAGAATAATTGTATCAGGAACCCACTGCCTTTGCATTACATATTTGTAGAACTGCTTACCAATCTGCGAGAGCAATTGGATTTTAGTATCTGTAATATATTTAACAGGACTAAACATTATTTAGTTGGAGATGATTAACGTCAATATCAGACTTAAAGTGAACATTTTATACGATAGATGAGGAGATGAAAGTGTAGAATTGATAGTTTCATTATAGTACGGCAGTGTGAAAACTGTATGGTATGGTTTGGTAAAAGGAATGCTCGATCCGATTCGTACTTTCCTCAAATTGTCGTTTGTTTTCTACTTTCTACATACAATTTTCACACTGCCGTACTATAACGGAACTTATCAATACTATAATCATCTATCGTATACAATGTTCACTTTAAGTCTGATAAAGATTTTAAAAAAAATAACGTTAAGTCCTTTGTGGACAATAATCCAAATATTTTTTTTTATTTTGTATGGGGCATGGACACTTATCAATGTTCTATGTGCAGTGCTAAGCTGATTTGTGAAGTGTTAAGTCTCCAGTTCAGCTTACTTATTGAGATTCAGTAAAAAATTGGCTGCATGCACTAATAATAAATTTTTATATTCAGTGTGTAACTAATCTGCTCTCTACACCTCAAACCAGCCAATAATCAACATTAGTTCTTGCTGTTCAGCTTCAATTGTTACTTGGGTTCAACCTACATGAAAACATTTGTTACACCCACACCGCTTGTTTTTGGTGAATACTGTCGAACTGATATGTTAAACAATCAACCCATTTTGTAGAATTTATGAAATGTTCACGAAATTTCCAACCACTGCTCAAAAGTGAACTCTATTCCCATAGCCGGTTACCGAGAAATCATGATTTCAATGACAGTGTACAATGTTGCCAACCCATCCCAAGTAACCAAAAGTTGCCCCGTAACGTGGGTAGATCACCTTTTCGTGGTACGTTACGGGATGTAAGATCTACAACCGATTCGTCGTCCTGACTACTTAAAACTAGGGGAACAGGATTTTTCAGTAATCCAAGGAACACATCTTAGTCCTTGTTACTTTGTATGCCTTATGAATAGTGACAAGACTCAGCTTTGTCCAGCGAGGATGCTCTTGAAACACGGAAAAAATGAGTTAGTTAGTCTTCATCTATGTGATCCCTAATCTTCTATTCGCTGTTCCCTAGTTTGAAGTGGTTAAGACTAGGGTTCTGATGCATGGTCATTATCGATGTTATTCCTTAATTTTGTTGCTAAGGAATCCAATTTTGACTGACAAAGGGGCGCACCTTTGGAGGAAGCACCCCCCCCCAAAAATCGAATACTTCATCATTTCTCAATAGTGATGGAGTAATACGACATGCACTAAACTAAGGACACGGGATTTACTACAATTGATCAAATTACTGTTCGCAGTGGTGTTAGGTCCTGAACAGAGGAAACAAATCAAAAGTTTTGATAAAACGCTATTTGTGGCTTAAGCAGCTTGGCTGAAGGTGGTCTATAGAATTCTAAGCAGCCTCATTTTTAAGTCGATATAAGAACTTGAAAGTACCGGTACCATAATTGAAGAGCATTCTAAGCAGCTTCTGGCGGAACTTGAGCTGAACTTTTAGAAAATAAATTAAAAAAGGTTTTTGTCCTCTACACCAATTCTATGTGTAGTTCGCACTTTTATGAAAATTATTTCTAAAGACAGGTATTAATGTGTATTGATTTATCAGCATTAGTAGTAGAATTGGAGCTGTTTAAAGAATTAAACCCAGTCCTTCTGCATGAGAGCCCCAGCACGAACCGCTACCTCATCTGAGATATATTAAAGTGAGCTGTTGTCCCGCCTACTGTTGGAGTTTTCAGTGCCAGCTCACTGACTTGAATACGAAACACAACACCTTGATGAATTTTAACTTGGTGTTTGCTCGCATGGTATTTCAACACACTTTTGGCGCAGTGGTTAGCAATCGTATATTGCATGCCGAATACACGGGTTCGAATCCAGGAAACTACTCTTTATTTTTTTATATTTGGATAGAATGTTGATGCACTGCATAAATATAAGAATTATGATTTATTCGGACCACCGATCACTTTATATTTACGTACATTAAATTTTGTTACTTATAAATACTTGTGCGGATTGCTTCATGTGGCTTGAAAGTTCTGTCGGAACTTTATTTGAACATTATGGAACTTAAAAGTTCTGTCAGAAATTTATGGAACTTGAAAGTTCTGTCGGGACTTTATTCGAGCTTTATGGAACTTAAAAGTTCTATCGGAACTTTATTTGAACTTTATGGAACTTGAAGGTTCGGTCGGAACTTTATTTGAACTTCGTGGAACTTGGAAGTGATTTTAATCGTTAAATGCGGAACTTTTGGTTACTTGGGATTGGACTCTAGCAACAGGCATGAATTCTCAGACAACTAGTAGTTGTATAACAAAGGACAGATAGAATCATATATTCTTACAAATGAAAATCGTATAATTGATTATACGTTTAGTCAAATATCTATTTCGATGGGTCCTATCCACAATGATCGATTCTGTTCATCGACTTTCTCTTTTGATAACCATGGAGGTGGTGTCTTGAATGCTGAAACCGATCAGCGTTAGTTTAGAACGTATTAGAATTACTACGCCAAACCGAGTTGTCAGCGTGGACTATCACTGCCTACCACCGTTCATATGTCACAAAGCAAGAGTTCAACCGTACCAGTAATTACTTTAGGAAGTGCAACCGGTTTCTGTGTCGCCGATATGTATTCCGTACACAGGCATGCCTTCGCAGAAATCCGAAGCGTATCAACTCTAAATGGAATGGAATCGGTTTTCAAAAGCAAAAACGGTTGTCAATAGGCCACCGAGCCCCTTATATCATAAAAAAATAACGGAACCGTCCCTGATGAAGTTGCTGCTCGTGCGATCCTTTCAGTAGCCGCTGCTCGTGCGATCTTTTCAGTAGCCGCTACTCTCAAAATTCTGATCTTCTGTTCAGTAAGCAAAAACGATTGCCACTAGTTTGGCGAGCCGTTTATATCACAAAAACAATGATGAGCGAGTTCAATCCCGACGACGCACAGTGGTTGAAATAGGCATTTTCGTGCGCTTAATTAATAGCTCCTTTATCATGAAACTAAGAGATATGGGGTCTTCAGAGAAGTTTTTCAATATGTTACTGTGCTTCTTTTGATGTTTTTAGTTAAAAGATTAATCCCCCTAAAAGTAATATTGAAAATTTATTTTTTCAACTATTCAAGATACAGTGTTGGTGTCTTGGACCAAGTTGTAGAAATTTTTTTTACAAAGAACTTTGCTGAAGACACTTAATTAATATCTTTTTTACTTTTCAAGATATGTGACGTTTATTGCCGACGGTCCCTCAAAAATGGTTTTCTCATCATAAATTTTTGGTCTACATTTTTACGGCTTTGCCATCTTCTAGTAAATTGTATATAATAACAAAATACATAATATTGTAGAACACCGCATTGCAGTATCTTCTGTAGAAAAAAAGTTATGGAAGTTTTTGTAGATTTTTAGACCATAATTTAGGAACTTGTAACTTAGCAGGGGGCAAAATGGGGCAATATACCTATGGTGCATCTGAAACTTTAATAAATTTACTTCAAATTGATGGCAAACATTTGTGAATGTAAGCGATTGTTGGTAAACTATGATTTAAACAAAATAGTGATAGCCGTGCCTAAATGTGCATACTATTTCATCAGAATTGCCGCACCTAGTGTTAGAGATATCTTGTATACATTATAATGCTACTGTTGAAATCAAGTAAGCCATGACCCAAGACTTCAATTAGCAACCATCGTCAAGTGAAGTAAAATAACATTGTTAAATCTTAATTATTTGTTGGACATTGAGTGGTTTGAAAGCTCTATTGTGTACACGAATCACGGTAACAGTGCCCAGTTTTCAACTGTATAAATGGCCTCCATCGGTATGTAAAATATCTTAATTTGAAATTTGACTGTCTATGTTTTGGAATTTATGCCAAGAACTATTTTTTAAATCATTCTTATATTCCAGTTGAAATCGATAAACATCAAGCAGAAGAGCTTTTTTTGCGAACGCTAAACAAGTAGCAGACATCACTAAACTAAATCTCACAGCAATCCAACGCTGGTGGTTCAATTCTCAAATCTATAGGATCAGGTTGCGAAATCTATTCAATATCATTTGACAACTATTGTGTTGAGACAGCACGCTTGTTGGTGAAATTATATCCCTGGTACTATCTACCAGCAAGTGTCCATAAGGTTCTTATACATGGGTCTTCCATAATTGACAATTTTATGGTACCAATCGGACAACTCTCAGAAGAAGCGCAAGAGGCAAGAAATAAAGATTGGAAAAGGTAGGTACAAGTTTCATGATGTAATTATTTTTTTGAAATATTTTTACCCATCTATCACATACCGAGAATTCAACACCCGAAAGCATTCAAGACAAGCTACGAATCGTGATCTTCTGAACATTCTACTAGTGTCTTCTGATCCATTGATCACAAGTATTCGAGGATGGCCGAAGAAAACCGAAAAACCGGATGACGCGAAAAGCCTTTTGAAAACTTTTTCTTACGATACTGAGAATGACAACGAAACCAAAAGCGAGGACGACAGCGATTCATGAAATAGACATGTTGAAAAACTTTTATTATCAATTAAATTTAATTAAATTAAATTGAACCCGATTAGCGTGCCGTATTTTTCTACTATAACCAAGAAAAAGTTTTAACACGAAACATACCTT